GTTTTTGCCTGCTTTCTTCTCTAGGATTTTGATGGCTTCCTGTCCTACGTTTAGGTCTTTCCTCCATCTTGAATTTATTTTTGTGTATGGTGTAAGAAAGTGGTCCAGGTTCATTCTTCTGCATGTCACCCTTCAGTTTTCCCAGTACCACTTGCTGAAGAGGCTGTCTTTATTCCATTGGATATTCTTTGTCAAAGATAAGTTGGCCAGAGGTTTGTGGGTCTGTTTCTGGGTTGTCTCTTCTGTTCCACAGATCTGAATGTCTGTTTTTGTGCTGTTCCTGATCCATTCGTATGCCTCAGACGTTCGTTTGGAAAACATTCTGAAGTGTGAACCTGGGCTAAGTGAACCTTTTCCTTTAAGTCTTTAGGCTCACCATGGATGAAGCTGTGCCAGGCCCCGCACCTGAAGGTGCAGACAGCCGTGTGACAGTGAAAGAGGAGGACTCCCCCTGGGAGCAGGTGTGCGGCTCTTGGGAAAGCAGCTGCCACGCCCAGGAGCTGTGCCGTCTGCGCTTCCGGCAGTTCTCCTACCGGGATGTGACTGGGCCCCGCCAGGCTCTGGCCCAACTCCACGAACTCTGCCGCCAGTGGCTGCGGCCCGAGACCCACAGCAAGGAGCAGATCCTGGAGCTGCTGGTGCTGGAGCAGTTCCTGACCGTCCTGCCCGTGGAGCTCCAGGCCTGGGTGCGGGAGCACCACCCGGAGAGCGGGGACGAGGTGGTGACGGCGCTGGAGGATCTGGAGAAAGACACAGGACAGCAGGTTGGAAGAGGATGTGTACGGTGGCATGGGAGGAGAAGTGGGGAACGTTTGTCTATTAATTTTTACCTTTTTTTTTAATTTTTAAAAATAATTTATAACTTACAGAAGTATCTGGGAAAGTAGTACAGAGAACTGTCTGCTGCTCACCCAGACTCCCTAGTTGTTGACACTGTGTCATGATGTGCCTGCTCTTGTGCAAGCCACCCCCTTTCCTCTCTCTCTGCGTGTCACACACACTTACACACTCATGCAGTATTTTTTCGACCATTTGAGAGTTATTTGCAGATACTACACTTCTTTATCTCTGAACACTTCAGAGTTCAGTGTGTATTTCTGATGAATGAGGGCGTTCTTTTGTATAACTGGAATACAAAGATCAAGTTTTGGGAAATTAAAATTATTACGGACTATCATCTACACGGTAGTCCTTGTTCGCGTTCTGCCAGGTCACCTCCGTAGTGTTCTCTGTGGCAGTTTTACTCCGATCCAGGATACAGTCCAGCAACCTATGTTGCATTTAATTGCCTCTTTAGTCTCCTTGAATCTGGAACAGTGACTTCGTCTCTTTTTTTTGTTTTTTTAAAGTTTATTTATTTTGAGAGAGAGAGTGTGTGTGTAAGCAGGAGAGGGGCTGAGAGGGAAGGAGAGAGAGAATCCCAAGCAGGCTCTGCATTGTCAGCCCAGAGCCCAATGCAGGGCTGGAACTCACGAACTGTGAGGTCATGACCTGAGCTGAAATGAAGAGTGGGTCGCTTAACCAACTGAGCCACCCAGGTCCCCCACTTGGTCTTTCCTTGTCTGCCACGACATTGATATTTGTCTTACATTTTCTCTTGATAAGGTCCGTGTTGTTCCTTTTGCCTAGAATGCCACAGAAGATATGTTTGCCTTAGTGCATCACATCAGGGAGGCACATGGGGATGGGTTGTTGCATTACTGATGAGCTTAAGGTGGTGTCTGTCAGATTTCTGTTTCCTAAAGTTACCACTTTCCCCTTGGTAGTCCCCTAAGTAGCCTGTGGGAGCTGTCCTGTGATAGTCTCCATCCGCCAGTGTGAGCATCCACCTGGGTTTGTTTGGTTTTCTTTCTGGGCGGGCATGCTTGGTCCGCACTGTCCTCGTTTGCCGCGTATCCCCAGCACGTAGAACACAGTCCGAGTCTCCGTAGGTGTGCAGTCCCTCTTTACCAAATGGGTGGACATCTCGGTCTGCTACTCTCTTATTTACTGCTGCTTTGAAAGATTAAATGGGGCTTGTCTGGTATTTCCTTGAAGATGTCCCTAACTGCTGTTCAGTCCTGTTCCCACCAGGATGCATTTTCAAGGTAAATCTTTTATCCCCAGGCTTCTGTCTATACTCGGGGACAGGACATGCACTCACTGGTGACAGAGTATCAGGGAGCCTCTTCAGAATGTCAGAGCCTCCAGCTCCTGCCCAGGGTAACTGCCTTGAAGTGTGAACCTCCAGAGCTCTGCCAAGAGAACCCCGGAGAAGTGAGTGGTGAGTGCCAGTGCGTGTGTAGTACGGAAATTGGGAGCAGACACTGACAGGCGCTTGTTTATCTGTGTCTTTTAGTTTTTATATATAGGTGGGTATATATCTATGTCTATATTTATGTCTATATATGTGTGTGTGTGTATCTATCTGTCTATATTTTTTCCCTACCCTGTATCTAAGCAAGCTTCTAAAAACATTTGGAATTGTAAAATGTTAGGATCCTGAGATCTTGTCCAATTCCCCTCCCAATAGTTGGGAAAACCAAAAGTCAGGCTGTTTAATGACTTGCCCAAGGTCATCAGAGGCAGAGCAACATCTAGAATTCAAGTCACCTGACCTTCTGACGGGAGGTCTCTCTGCTACTTACCTTTGCTCTACATGTCTAATTCTACACTTGTGGGTGTTTTCAATATTTACTTGGCAGCTTTCCACAAATTTACCTTTTTCCCCACAATAACATTGTCTTCAGTATCCTCCCTGCGTCTAACCTGGAGTCATTTTAAATGCAGCTGTGGGCTTAAACAGGTTCTCTCTGTTCTCCATTGAAGTGCATTCTTCTGTGTGCAGGGTCCCCCCACTTTCCATACCCAGGCTTCACCTCCAGGAAACCATCCCAACTGTTGCTTATTGTTGAGCTCTGTGCAGGCATCTGGCACAGTGTTTGAAGTCTGCAGATGGATTGATAACAGACAGAAGTACACAGAAAGTTCAAAGAAGAGACCTTAGAATTCCACAGTGCAGTGTTTTTTAACCTTCTCATGAGGGGTGCTACTAGTTTTTCCCCGGAAGTTATTGAAAACTTGACTCTCTTCCCTGGAAAATGTAGGTACATGCAAAATTATGCATATGATTTCAGAGGGTTCGTGGTTTACCCCAGTCACAGTTTACCATGGTTTACCAGATTCGCTACGTTGGTGATCTGTGAATACTGATATTTTGACAGTAAGTGTAGAATGAATAAACGGTTCATATAATAAATCACTAGAGGGAGATGAAATGTATACGGCTCATATTACTTATGGTGTTTACTCATATCATGTAGCATGAATAGGACTTGATACTTCCCTGCTTATTTGGCTGATGGTTCTGTCATATTTCTGCAGCTGTGAAAAACCAGCATTGCGTGAAGCCCCAGAATAGTTTGTTTATCTGAAGAAGTTGAGAGGTAGTGGGGAGCCCCACAGTGAGCAGACATTCCTACTTACCTATGAGATGATGAATATACACCTACTGAAAGCAATTTTGTTTTGACTGGAGAGGAGAGAGGGGTAATGAACAGAGGTGGGCAGTTGTCAGAATGGTGAGGATGGTAATTGACAAATAGGTAACTGATCATAGGATGTAAGATTCTTTCCTGTAAGTGAATGCTTAAAAACAGCATGACATGGCTCACAAACCGGACCCCAGCCGCATTGTGGGCAGGACAGTGGCCTCTTGTGGTTTTCTGTGTCCCCAGAGGGAGGCACCACTGCTGTGGTAGGTGTTATCCAGATGAGAATGCTCTCTGGGCCTTCCGGAAGCATGCTTTGTCATTTTCAAAGACTTTTTTTTTTTTTTTTTTAAATATATATCCTTTTAGCTCCTTCCGAATATTTAAAGACTCTAGCTAAAGGCCTACCTATCAGTTATAAACCCAGCACATTTCTCCAGGTTACCTGACAGTACATGACTTAGACCAATTTCCCAGACAAGTGGTGTTTCTTCCTCCTGTGCTGGGATTTTCAAGGGATAGTAAGTTAACCAGTGTGGCTGGAGGGTAGGGTTTGTTTGCAAAAGAGTGTGTGGGAGAAATGGGGAAGTCACGTGGGAACGTTTTGTGTCATTAAAGTTTGGACTGTCATTAAAAAGTTGCGTGCCATAGAAGCCTTTTTAAAAAATTTTTTTTATGTTTTGACAGAGAGGGGGGCGGGGAGGGGCAGAGAGAGGGAGACAGAATCCCAAGCAGGCTCCAGGCTCTGAGCTGTCAGCACAGAGCCCTATGCGGGGCACGAACCCACAAACATCTCATGACCTGAGCTGAAGTTGGACATTCAACCAACTGAGGCACCGAGGCGCCCCAGCCTTTTTTTTTTTTTTAAATCAAAAATATGATTTACAGCAATTGTAGTGTGTGTGTGTGTGTGTGTGTGTGTGTGTGTGGTATTCTCATCTGTCATGGGACACTAGAATTAAATGAAAACTCACGAGTACTGTATTTTTCCCAGTCTCTCAATGCTCAGTTGTGATAGTCTTAGTGTCAGACACATTGTTGAGTGTTTGCATGTTGGTGGAGAAGTAGAAGGGACCTTGAGGTATGACCCGATAGACTGCACCTGAAGCCTGCATCCTCCTGTTCTGTCTTGAGCAGGGATGCACAGCAGCAGATCAGTGTGGTGTCTGTATTGAACTTTCTCATATGTGAAAACATCCCTCTGCCTCTTTCTCGGGCTTAACCCTAATGCTCTTCCACCTGAGGAGGATGATAAGGAGCAAACACAAAGTCTGATTTGACCTTGGCTATCTCAGATTTTCCATTGTCTTTGTTTTCTTTCCTCACTGCATTTTATGTTTGCCCCTTTCCATTTTCTTTCCCATCCTCCCCTTCTCAATATAGCCCCTTCTCTGTCAGCAGACCTGTTTCACATTGTGCTTTTTTAGTTGAAGGGTTTGGCATGTATGTGCTGTTGGGGGAAGTTGGGGGTAAGGTCGCAACAGTGCATCAGGGACAAGCCTGTTTTTCCAGCAAGCTTTATTAGTTCCTCTAGATACGAAACAACACCAGCGAAAAGATGCTATGGTGATCCATTGTGTCTGGAGCAAAAAAAAGTGATGCTACAGTCTTGGATAAATTCTGGGTTAGAATGATCATGTCTTCTTCATTTAGTTTTGTGTAGCTGGTATTAAGCTGATCTGAAAATTAATAATACATGACCTCAGGGGGGTCTTGCAGTTTTACAAAGAGCTTTTGTGTTCATTCATTTGATCTTCACCAGCCCTGAAAAGTGGACTATGTTTTCCCCATGGCACAGATAAGGAATGGGAGGCTTAGCAAGACTGACAGGCCCAAGGTCACACAGCTGCAGCTGTAACCTAGTTCTTTTTTTTCTTTTCTTTTAATTCCAGTGTAGTTAACATACAGTCTTATATCAGTTTGAGGTATATAATACAGTGATTCAACAATTTTGTGTATTAGTGCTCACCACGGTAAATGTTACTCTTAATCCTGGTCACTGATTTCACCCATTCCCCCACCCACCTGCCCTCTGATAAACGTCTGTTGTTCTATGTATTTTTTTTTTTTTTTAAATGTTTTATTTTCAGAGAGAGAGCAAGCAAGCGAGAGCTCAAGCGGGGAAAGGGGCAGAGGACAGAGAATCCCAAACAGGTTCCATCCTGTCAGCATGGAGCCCTATGCAGGGCTCAATCCCACAAACCCTGAGATCATAACCTGAGCTGAAATCAAGAGTCGGACACTTAACTGACTGAGCCACCCTGTTCTATGTAGTTAAAAGTCTTTTTTTTGTTTTTCTATGTAGTTAAGAGTCTATGTAATTAAGAGTCTTTTTTGGTTTTTCTCTTTTTTTCCCTTTGTTTTGTTTCTTCTATTCCACATGAATGAAGTCATATGGTATTTGTCTTTCTCTGTCTTATTTTGCTTAGCATAACACTATCTAGCTCCATCCATGTCACTGCAAATGGCAAGATTTCATCCTTTTTATGACTGAGTAATATTCCTGTGTGTGTCTGTGTGTGTTGGTGTGACTCCATTCTTGTGTGTGTGTGTGTATACTTCTATATGCGTGCCACATCTTTATCCATTCATCTATCAGTGGACACTTGGGCTGTTTCCATAGTTTGGCTATTGTAGACAATGCTGCTATAAACAGAGGGGTGCATATATCCTTTTGAATGAGTGTTTTCATATTCTTTGGGTAAATACTCAGTAGTGCAATTACTGGATCATAGGGTAGTTCTATTTTTTATTTTTTAAGGAACCGCCATACTGTTTTCCACAGTGCCTGTACCAGTGCATTTGCCACCAACAATGTGGGAGGATTCCTTTTTGTCCATATTTTCACCAACACTAGTTGTTTCTTATGTTTTTGAGTTTAGCTATTTTCACAGGTGTAAGGTGATACCTCACTGTAGTTTTGATTTGCATTTCCTGATGATAAGTGATGTTAAGCATCGTTTCATGTGTCTGTTGGCCATGTGCATATCTTCTTTGGAGAAATGTCTGTTCGTGTTTTCTATCCATTTATTGGATTATTTGTTGGTGTTGAGTTGTGTAAGTTCTTTGTATTTTTTGGATTTTAATCCGTTATTGGACATGCTATTTACAAATGTCCTCTCCCATTCAGTAGGTTGTCTTTTAGTTTTGTTATTTCCTTTGCTGTGCAGCTTTATCTCCATATAGTCCCAATAGTTTATCTTGCTTTTATTTTCCTTGCCTCAAGAGACCTATGTAGAAAGATTTTGCTACAGCCCTGTCAGAGAAATTACTGCCTATGCTCTTGTCTAGAATTTTACGGTTTCGTGTCTCAAATTTAGGTCCTTAATTTATTTGGGGTTTATTTTTGTGTATGGTGTAAGAAAGTGGTGCAGTTTAATTCTTTCACATGGAGCTGTCTGGTTTTCCCACCACCATTTGTTGAGAAGACTGTTTCTCCCATTGCATATTCCTGCTTCCTTTGTCAAAGATGAATTGACCATATAATCATGGGTTTATTTCTGGGCTTTCTACTCTATTCCATTGATCTATGTCTGTTTTTGTGCCAATATCATACTGTTTTGATTACTGCTGGTTTGGTGTTTTTTTTTTTTTTTTTTTTTTTTTTTTTTTAAGTTTATTTATTTATTTTGAGAGTGAGGGAGTGCAAGTGGGGAAGGTACAGAGAGAGAGGGAGAGAGAATCCCAAGCAGGCTGCATGCTGTCAGCATGGAGCCTGACGCAGGGCTCAGTCCCACCAACTGGAAAATTATGGCCTAAGCCTAAATCAAGAGTCAAACACTCGACCGACTGA